GAAATAAGACAACAACAAAAAAGAACTTGAGCGTGCATAACTATTCACCCCCCCCAAAGTCAATACTGTGTAGAGCCACCTTTTGCAGCAATTACAGCTGCAAGTCTCTTGGGGTATATCTCTATAAACTTGGCACATCTAGCCACTGGGATTTTTGCCCATTCTTCAAGGCAAAACTGTTCCAGCTCCTTCAAGTTGGATGGGTTCTGCTGGTGTACAGCAATCTTTAAGTCATACCACAGATTCTCAATTGGATTGAGGTCTGGGCTTTGACTAGGCCATTCCAAGACATTTAAATCAAATCAAATCAAATCAAATTTTATTGGTCACATGCGCCGAATACAACAGGTGCAGACATTACAGTGAAATGCTTACTTACAGCCCTTAACCAACAGTGCATTTATTTTAAACAAAAAAGTAAGAATAAAACAACAACAAAAAAAGTGTTGAGAAAAAAAGAGCAGAAGTAAAATAAAGTGACAGTAGGGAGGCTATATATACAGTAAAATAAAGTGACAGTAGGGAGGCTATATATACAGGGGGGTACCGTTGCAGAGTCAATGTGCGGGGGCACCGGCTAGTTGAGGTAGTTGAGGTAATATGTACATGTGGGTAGAGTTAAAGTGACTATGCATAAATACTTAACAGAGTAGCAGCAGCGTAAAAAGGATGGGGTGGGGGGGCAGTGCAAATAGTCCGGGTAGCCATGATTAGCTGTTCAGGAGTCTTATGGCTTGGGGGTAGAAGCTGTTGAGAAGTCTTTTGGACCTAGACTTGGCACTCCGGTACCGCTTGCCGTGCGGTAGCAGAGAGAACAGTCTATGACTAGGGTGGCTGGAGTCTTTGACAATTTTGAGGGCCTTCCTCTGACACCGCCTGGTATAGAGGTCCTGGATGGCAGGGAGCTTTGCCCCAGTGATGTACTGGGCCGTACGCACTACCCTCTGTAGTGCCTTGCGGTCAGAGGCCAAGCAGTTGCCATACCAGGCGGTGATGCAACCAGTCAGGATGCTCTCGATGGTGCAGCTGTAGAATTTTTTGAGGATCTGAGGACCCATGCCAAATCTTTTTAGTCTCCTGAGGGGGAATAGGCTTTGTCGTGCCCTCTTCACGACTGTCTTGGTGTGTTTGGACCATGATAGTTCGTTGGTGATGTGGACACCAAGGAACTTGAAGCTCTCAACCTGTTCCACTACAGCCCCGTCGATGAGAATGGGGGCGTGCTCAGTCCTCTTTTTTTTCCTGTAGTCCACAATCATCTCCTTTGTCTTGGTCACGTTGAGGGAGAGGTTGTTGTCCTGGCACCACACGGCCAGATCTCTAAACCACTCAAGTGTCGCTTTAGGAGTATGCTTAGGGTCATTGTCCTGCTGGAAGGTGAACCTCCGTCCCAGTCTCAAATCTCTGGAAGACTGAAACAGGTTTCCCTCAAGAATTTCCCTGTATTTAGCGCCATCCATCATTCCTTCAATTCTGACCCGTTTCCCAGTCCCTGCCGATGAAAAACATCCCCACAGCATGATGCTGCCACCACCATGCTTCACTGTGGGGATGGTGTTCTCGGGGTGATGAGAGGTGTTGGGTTTGCGCCAGACATAGCGTTTTCCTTGATGGCCAAAAAGCTCAATTTTTGTCTCATCTGACCAGTGTACCTTCTTCCATATGTTTGGGGAGTCTCCCACATGTGTTTTCGCGAACACCAAATGTGTTTGCATATTTTCTTCTTTAAGCAATGGCTTTTCTTCTGGCCACTCTTCCGTAAAGCCCAGCTCTGTGGAGTGTACGGCTTAAAGTGGTCCTATGGACAGATACTCCATTCTCCGCTGTGGAGCTTTGCAGCTCCTTCAGGGTTATCTTTGGTCTCTTTGTTACCTCTCTGATTAATGCCCTCCTTGCCTGGTCCATGAGTTTTGGTGGGCGGCCCTCTCTTGGCAGGTTTGTTGTGGTGCCATGTTCTTTCCATTTTTTAATAATGGATTTAATGGTGCACCGTGGGATGTTCAAAGTTTCTGATATTTTTTTATAACCCAACACTGATCTGTACTTCTCCACAACTTTGTCCCTGACCTGTTTGGAGAGCTCCTTGGTCTTCATGGTGCTTCTTGCTTGGTGGTGCCCCTTGCTTAGTGGTGTTGCAGACTCTGGGGCCTTTCAGAACAGGTTTATATATACTGAGATCATGTGACAGATCATGTGACACTTAGATTGCACACAGGTGGACTTTATTTAACTAATTATGTGACTTCTGAAGGTAATTGGTTGCACCATATCTTATTTAGGGGCTTCATAGCAAAGGGGGTGAATACATATGCACACACCACTTTTCTGTTATTTATTTTTTTGAATTTTTTGAAACAAGTAATTATTTTAATTCCACTTCACCAATTTGGAGTATTTTGTGTATGTCCATTACATGAAATGCAAATAAAAATCCATTTAAATTACAGGTTGTAATGCAACAAAATAGGAAAAACGCCAAGGGGGAGGAATACTTTTGCAAGGCACTGTATATAGAATATTAGGTAGCCCTTTCCACTCACAGCCCCTGTCATCCCGTATACGGGTTGAAAATGGCAGATTTTGTCATTCATAAGTGCATAAATTGGAATGCAGTGGCTGTATAGTAAAACAGCGCTGGATGGGTTTTGACTGACAGGCGTTATAAACATGAGCACCGCACGCGACAAGAAGTTGCCCCATCCCTCACGCTAATTGGGCTACTTTTGCACATATGTTATTGTCTGAGTGAAGGAAGTGCTGTAAATCGAGAGGAGGGGATGTGTTCTAAAAGATGTGAGGTTGAGGATTATAATAAATACCGCTTTGATGTCATACAAGCAAACCACACACCCAAGAGTCCAAATGTGCACTTCACATTTCCATATTTGAAAACTCATGTAATTTACAATATCACCATTTATGATCGCTATATTTGATCCACAGTTACAAGGATGACATGCGTTATATCCTGGGTTTTCCTGAAGAGAATGAGCCAATGTTTGTCATATTGTGAAGAAAATGTTGCAGCGGAACACACACTTGAATGCACTCCATTCTATGTGCATCAAAATTACAATCTGTTTGAAGTGACTTTTGAAAGCCTAACACTGAAAGATTGTATTTTATAACTTAGTTAGCAATGTTGGGAATAGAATAAGCTTTCAAATTATGCTCACCTGACCCAGATCGTGATTTATAATGGAATGTTTTTGGATTGCGTAAACAACAACAGTAATTGTGTGATGGTGGAGACGCAGGGCTGTGCTTGCTTCAGTTCCTCAATGGCAAAGCTAGGAGAGCTCAAAAAAGCACCTTATAGTTGAAGGCTCTTTCTTGAGTCATAAAGTGTATTGAAATTACTGAAGAACTGTGCACAGTTTGGAGAGCTGTGTGGCCACTTGGAGACACCAGTTAGACCTCTCACACAAACCCTTGTAATCGGTTTCTTATCTTGCACCTACACCAAAATGTCAATGAATATTCTTATTATGTTACTGAATGTATCCAGAGTATTTTGCTGAGAAAAGTACAGTAAAAGTCAAATGCACATAAAATCAACAGTGTAATGTTTGGATTCAGTCTTGTGTCAGGTGAACTGTTGTGTCCTCACCTTTGGTCTAATAATTTCCCCATAATCTCCAAACTGTTCTCTATCAACTGCTACCATGGTCATGTATATGCTTTATATAGTTCTTCTGTTAGAAACATTTAAATTTGGCCCTATCCATATAGGCCAAATTCCACGAGTGTAAGGGGCTAATGTATGGTGTATGTGTGTGTGTGTGCATGCGTGTCCCCATGTCGCGCCATCCCTGCCCTGTCCTCATGAAACTGAGTGCTCTCGTCCCAAAATTTCACAGCACTTTGGCTTGAAAAGAGAGAGGGAGAGGCTCAGAGTGCCATGCAGTCCTTGGCATAATCTCTGACTGCCAGTGCTGCTGCTGTGACCAACCCCCCACTTCTCCCTCCACACACACACTCCACCCCAATCCCTCCCCTCTCTGTCTGTACTGAGAGCAGTCCAGACAGGGACATCATGTGATGGGTGCAGTTGTGCCCGGTAAAGGGATCTGTGTCCAGTCGCATTAGACAGACAGATCCACCGTCCTGGAGGCCTGCAGGGAGGGACGCTGACCTGTTTGTGCTGGTTGGGCCTGGAGCAGGTCAGGGAGACAGGGACTGTGGCTACATCTTTAGTGGAGGAGTAAGGTCCATAAGGGTCATGGTTAATAAGGGTCATAAACGTATTTCTTATTTCCTTAAACCAGACACTGTGTCAAGACAGACATATGGCCCAAAAGGAAACTTGTATAATACCTGAATTTTGTCAACAACACTTTTGAGATTGCAGATGTTTGGCATTATGGTGTTCCTACACTCTGTTTTCTTGACTAATCAATTTCAGACAAGACTAGATTAAATGTTTGTAATGGTGTGCTGCAGCTGACTAGCCTGGGTTTGCCCTGGTCATCTTTCTTTTATGCAATACAGGGATTGGTTTTATGGTTATGGCTCCTTTCTGATACTGTATGGGTGAATGGCTAGGGTGATTTTTCTTTACAGCTGAAATCAATGTGACTGACTAAATTCATTAGGCCTATTTCATTACTAATAATTTTGAATGCTGAAAGGACAACACGCAATGTTTTAATCAGGAGTTTCTTAGATTCTCCTGTCACGGGCCTCCCGAGTGGCGCAGCGGTCTAAGAGGCATCACTACAGACCCGGGTTCGATCCCAGGCTGTGTCACAACAGGCTGTATGTTAAAAAGCGGGTGTTAAAAAGCGAGGTTTGGCGGGTCATGTTTCGGAGGACGCATGGCTCGACCTTCGCCTCTCCCGAGCCCGTTGGGGAGTTGCAGCGATGAGACAAGATCGTATTTGGATCGTAATTGGATATCACGAAATTGGGGAGAAAATGTGGGTAAATTTTTTTTATTATGTCACGTGTTTACCTGATTTGTGACCGATGTCTTCTCCCTATCTGTGTTGTGTTTGTAGAAGCTGGCAGCAGAGTGCCAGAGCGCGGGCTATAGCGGCACGCTGATCCCCTATAAGTGTGACCTGTCCTGTGAGGAGGACATCCTGTCCATGTTCTCTGCCATCAAGACGCTGCACCTGGGGGTGGACGTGTGTATCAACAATGCAGGCTTGGCCCACAATGAACCCCTGCTCAGTGGCAAGACAGACGGCTGGAAGAACATGATCGACGTGAGTGGACAACACACACACTGTACACATACAGTTGAAGTCGGAAGTTTACATACACCTTAGCCAAATTACATTTAAATTAAGTTTTTCACAATTCCTGACATTTAATCCTAGTAAAAATTCCCTGTCTTAGGTCAGTTAGGATCACCACTTTATTTTAAGAATGTGAAATGTCAGAATAATAGTAGAGAGAATGATTTATTTCAGCTTTTAGTTCTTTCATCACATTCCCAGTGGGTCAGAAGTTTACGTACACTCAATTAGTATTTGGTAGCATTGCCTTTAAATTGTTTAACTTGGGTCAAACGTTTCGGGTAGCCTTCCACAAACGTCCCACAATAAGTTGGGTGAATTTTGGCCCATTCCTCCTGACAGAGCTGGTGTAACTGAGTCAGGTTTGTAGGCCTCCTTGCTCGCACACACTTTTTCAGTTCTGCCCACAGATTTTCTATAGGATTGAGGTCAGGGCTTTGTGATGGCCACTCCAATACCTTGACTTTGTTGTCCTTAAGCCATTTTGCCACAACTTTGGAAGTATGCTTGGGGTCATTGTCCATTTGGAAGACCCATTTGCGACCAAGCTTTAACTTCCTGACTGATGTCTTGAGATGTTGCTTCAATATATCCACCTAATTTTCCTTCCTCATGATGCCATCTATTTTGTGAAGTGCACCAGTCCCTCCTGGTGCAAAGCACCCCCACAGCATGATGCTGCCACCCCCGTGCTTCACGGTTGGGATGGTGTTCTTCGGCTTGCAAGGAACCCCTTTTTCCTCCAAACATAACGATGGTCATTATGGCCAAACAGTTCCATTTTGTTTCATCAGACCAGAGGACATTTCTCCAAAAAGTACGATCTTTGTCCCCATGTGCAGTTGCAAACCGTAGTCTGGCTTTTTTATGGTGGTTTTGGAGCAGTGGCTTCTTCCTTGCTGAGCGGCCTTTCAGATTATGTCGATATAGGACATGTTTTACTGTGGATATAGATACTTTTGTAACTGTTTCCTACTGCATCTTCAAAAGGTCCTTTGCTGTTGTTCTGGGATTGATTTTCACTTTTCGCACCAAAGTACTTTATCTCTAGGAGACAAAACGCGTCTCCTTCCTGAGCGATATGACGGCTCTGTGGTCCCATGGTGTTTATACTTGCGTACTATTGTTTGTACAGATGAATGCGGTACCAAGGATGAACCAGACTTGTGGAGGTCTACAATTTTTTTTCTGAGGTCTTGGCTGATTTCATTTGATTTTCCCATGATGTCAAGCAAAGAGGCACTGAGTTTGAATGTAGCCCTTGAAATACATCCACAGGTACACCTCCAATTGACTCAAATGATGTCAATTAGCCTATCAGAAGCTTCTAAAGCCATGACATCATTTTCTGGAATTTTCCAAGCTGTTTAAAGGCACAGTCAACTTAGTGTATATAAACTTCTGACCCACTGCAATTGTGATACAGTGAATTATAAGTGAAATAATCTGTCTGTAAACTATAGTTTGTTAACAAGAAATTTGTGGAGTGGTTGAAAAACAATTTTTAATGATTCCAACCTAAGTGTATGTAAACTTCCGACTTCAACTGTAGGTTTACACACATACACGCTTTAACGAGCAGAAATACAAATGAAGAGGATAACTAGCTAAGCAAGTGAAATACTTGCAGTTGTAGAGTAGGTGGTGTGAAGCATAGTTCAGGGGGTTCAGTGAACCCACATAACCACACACACACACACACTCCCCCTCACAAGAAGTCGTTTCATTGGTTATGAGAGGAGACCTGGCAGTGGTACTACAAAGAGATCCACTTGTGGAAGAAGCCAGGCATTATTTCCCTCCATCTATTATGCTGGGCCTTTTCTTTACACTGTGATTCATGGAGCTCTTGACCATTCCATTCAAGACCCCCAGGCTGAGCCTCCCTACTCAAAAAGTAGTCCCATCCCTCCAGAGGAGCTGAGCATTTCTAACGCCTGTCCATCTGTTGCCATGGCAGCCAAGATCAGTGTGTATGGCGTGTATATTTTTAGATGGTGTAATCTGTATGCAGACCTTGTTCTGCAACGGCAACCCCCCAATGCTACCTTAGCAACGCCACTGTGGCTTTAACCTGCCCTGCCTGGCGTCACTCTCAAAGTCACTGTGACATGGTCACATGATGGAGGAGACAGGTCAGGTTCAGATGACACAATCTGACACAGTGACACACAGTGACACTCTCTCTACCTGTGTGACCAGCCAGTATCTGAGGTCATTTGTGGTCTGTTGTCATTTTTTGGGATGTAATTTCAGAAGGGGCCTTAGCTTTGACACTGTTGAGAACTATAACTGTATTCTCATTCACCTAGACGGTCTTTTTGTGTGTGAAGGCAGATGCAGGTGCTTGTTTTTGACAGAAGCTCTCCCCTATAGGTGAATGTCCTGGCCTTGTCCATTTGTACCCGTGAGGCCTACCAGTCAATGAAAGAGCGGAATGTGGACGATGGCCACATCATCAATATTAACAGGTAGACTACAGCTTCTTTACAACCCATTAAATGCCTGTCACAACTGACATTTAAATGATTAAATACTCTCTCAGGAGATACAGTGAGGAAGGCCTACAATTTTACTCTTGGTTTTAGACAGAAGATTCAGAGGGATACAGGATGGGGGTGTAGCACAATCATATACATGCCATTATCTCACTTTCTCTCTCTTTTTCTCCCTCCCGCCCTCCCTGCTATAGTATGGGGGGACATAGAATGGTACCTAGTGCAGATGAACATTTCTACTGTGCCACAAAATATGCTGTGACTGCTCTAACCGAGGGGCTGCGGCAAGAGCTACGGGAAGCAAAGACCCACATCAGAGCCACGGTGAGCAGAGCAACATTACCTTGTCACAGTTTTTCATATGAATCTGACAAATGTCTTATACAATTATTAGATAGAAAGATGATTGTTGAGTATGTGTGTGTGTTCGTCCGTGCATGTGTATGCATGTCTGTCTGTGTGTGTGTCACGATCGTCGGTAAGAGATGAGGACCAAGGCGCAGCGTTGCAGACGAACATACTCTTTATTTATGATACACGATCAAAACAACAAAACGATAACGTGACAGTTCACGGTCTAACACAAACCAACTAGAAACAAGAACCCACAAACACAAAGGGAAAAACAGACAGTTTAAATATGGCTCCCAATCAGAGACAACCAGCCACAGCTGACACTCGTTGCCTCTGATTGGGAGTCACTCAGGCCAACATAGAAATAAACAAACTAGAACTCCCAACATAGAAATAGAATACATAGATCTACACACCCTGGCTCAACATAACAGTGTCCCCAGAGCCAGGGCGTGACAGTACCCCCCCCTAAAGACGCGGACTCCGACCGCGGCAACTAAATACCACAGGGGAGGGACCGGGTGGGCACTCCGCCTTGGCGGCGGATCCGGCTCCGGGCCTGATCCCCACTCCCTCTCCAACCCCCCAAAGTACCCCTGGTCCGGTCTGGCCCCGCTGGCCGGAGCTGGACTGCACACTGATGGAGCGGATTGCTCTAGCTCCGGCGTAACGCATCTGACCGGTGCCGGACCAGGCACCAGTGGAACAGGCACGGGCCGTGCTGGACTGACGACGCACACCACTGGCTTGGTGTGAGGAGCAAGAGCGGGCCGAACCGGGCTGGCGACGCGCACCATTGGCTTGGTGCGGGAAGCAGGACCGGACCGGGCTGACGATGCGCACCCCTGGCTTGGTGCGTGGAGCAGCAACGGGCCGGACCGGGCTGACGATACGCACCCCTGGTTTGGTGCGTGGAGCAGGAACGGGCTGGACCGGCCTGACGACTCGCACCCCTGACTTGGTGCGAGTGGCAGGAACATGCCGGACCGGGCTGGCGACGCGCACCATAGGCTTGGTGCGGGGAGCAGGAACAGGCCGGGCCGGGCTGGCGAATCGCACCATAGGCTTGGTGCGAGGAGCAGGAACAGGCCGGGCCGAGCTGGCGACGCGCACCGTAGGCTTGGTGCGAGGGGCAGGAGCAGGCCGGGCCGGGCTGGCGACGCGCAACTTAGGCTTGGTGCGAGGAGCAGGAACAGACCGGACCGTACTGGGGACACACACCACTGGCCCTACACCGGGATCTGGAACGGGCCGGACCGGACTGGTAACACACCCCAGTACCTCTCGCCGTGCCTCTACACCTTCCATCCCCTCTTCGACCAGTGGCCCCCGTAACCTGGCGGCCTCCTCTGCCAACCCGCTGGACCGCTCTATCGCGGCCTCCTGCTGCCCCGACGTCGTGAGCCCCCCCCTAAAAATGTTCTGGGGGTCTCTCTTCCCCGTGGGCCAGGCCTCTATAGTTCTCGCCCAACTCTCGCTCTTCTGCTTCCAACTCCCGCCATTCAGCTCCTCATTTGGCTTGACCCAGTTGAAGCTCTTCCTCCACTGTTCCCAAGTCCACCCTCTCTGCTCCTCACTAGGCTTGACCCAGTCGAGGTTGCCACGGAGATCTGCTAGCGATTCCCCTGGCGATGGCTCCTGGACACGCTGCTTGGTCCAGTTTTGGTGGGTTCTTCTGTCACGATCGTCGGTAAGAGATGAGGACCAAGGCGCAGCGTTGCAGACGAACATACTCTTTATTTATGATACACGATCAAAACAACAAAACGATAACGTGACAGTTCACGGTCTAACACAAACCAACTAGAAACAAGAACCCACAAACACAAAGGGAAAAACAGACAGTTTAAATATGGCTCCCAATCAGAGACAACCAGCCACAGCTGACACTCGTTGCCTCTGATTGGGAGTCACTCAGGCCAACATAGAAATAAACAAACTAGAACTCCCAACATAGAAATAGAATACATAGATCTACACACCCTGGCTCAACATAACAGTGTCCCCAGAGCCAGGGCGTGACAGTGTGTGTCTATAAACATCAATAACGAGCATGGTTTGTGCCTTTCTCTTCCATAGTGTATATCCCCTGGAATAGTGGAGACTGAGTTTGCCTTCCGGCACCACAACAGTGATCCAGAGAAAGCAGCTGCTGTGTATGAGAGTATAAAAGTAAGGCAGCTAGACTGTGTGTGAGTCTGTGTGTGTGTGTGTGAGTCTGTGTGTGTAAGTCTGTGTGTGGGGGGGTGGGTTGGTGGATGGTACAGGAGGTTGGTGGCACCTTAATTGGGGAGGACGTGCTCATGGTAATGGCTGAAGCGGAATCAGGTGAATGGTATCAAATACATCAAACACATGGTTTCCATGTGTTTGATGCCATTGCATTTGCTCCGTTCCAGACATTATTATGAGCCATCCTCCCCTCAGCAGCCTCCTGTGGTCTTCTCTCAATACAAATACTTTAACAAACTGTATTACTAATTGGCCTTTTTTTCGTCTGCAGTGTTTGAAAGCACAAGACATAGCCAGTGCAGTCACATACGTTCTGGGCGCCCCTCCTCATGTCCAGGTAAAGTAGTGCTCTGTCTGTCTGTTGCTTCTGTCAACACTTGGCTTACTTATATCCTGCCTCTCTCTCAAGTCAAGACTAACTCTTAGATAGACTAATGGTACTATATGTTGTCAATGGCCCTGACCTGCATAGTCTGAAACAGTGCGCTTTTATAGAGGACATTCATGCAGTTTGTTGGGTGCCTCTATTATTTGTGTTTGTTTGTTTGTTTGTGTATGTAACCCTGCTTGTCGGCCTCTAGATCGGAGATGTGCAGATGAGGCCGGTGGAACAGAAGTCATAGCAACAAAGCAGGAAGTTAAGCAGCTGGAGGAGCCAATAGAGCCAAGCAGCAAGCACCATTGTGACGACTCCTTAGCAACCCCTGCTGGGCAACGACAAAAACAAACAAACTAGTGTTCAACTGGATTTGGACTGAAGGGATCAGTTTGAGGAGGGGTGGAGGAAGCTGTGTGTGGTGGGGGGATCTCTGGTCTGGAGATGAGAGGAGGAGGAGTGAAGGAGAGGAGAGGGTGGGCAGGTACTCTTAACCACTACTGAATTACTGTGAGTGCTGCTAAAACATGGGCTTTGATGTATTGCTCTGACAGCCTTGTTTTAAAATGAAGCCACTTCAAACTTAGGAGGAGAAGAAGGTTGTTGCTCCTGTTCTTATGTGGTCATCTATTCAACATGACCATCCTGACAGACAGACAGACAGACAGACAGACAGACAGAGGGAAGAGTATGCCATCAATTGCACATTAACGTTTATTTTTTGTAGGTCATATTACATATATGTTTAAAATTATGGAAGAAAACACTGCTGTTATTTGTATAATTTTTTATATAAGTATTTTAACTTTGATTATTGGTAGATTTGGCTAATATACTGTACCCTCTAACCATAGACGCTCAATCCATTTTTACTATTTTGACTTAATAACAAGCAGATTTGGTTAGCCTGGTATGTATCAAGTAAGTCCCTCTTGTATGTTTTTCAAAACTTATGTCAACCATCACATTTTACATTTACATTTTTAGTCATTTAGCAGACGCTCTTATCCAGAGCGACTTACAGTTAGTGAGTGCATACATTTTTCATACTGGCCCCCCGTGGGAATCGATCACCAATCAGCAAATGTGTATAAGGGACAGTCAAGCATGATTACGCAACCCCATCACTCCATAAATCAACCATGTGAGATAGGCCTAGATTCAATCAGATCAATCGTTAAGCGGCAATAGCCGACACCTGCATAGCTGATGTTTTGGCGGTGTCGGAGGTGTAACAGCGTTGGAGCTGTCAAATCGATGAGCAGCTGCTCTTCGTCATTGTCATGAAGCCACACCTGCCGGGAGATGCTTGTGGATTTGACAGCTCTAACACAGGTCCACCTCCGACACTGTCAAAACATCAGTTTTGCAGATGTTGGCTAAAGCGGATCTGATTGAATCAGGCCCTTAAATGGTTTTGCACCATAGAGATAGATAGAAGACTCATCTTTGTATCTGTACCATTATGGCATCTGTGACAGTATGGGCAGCAACACTGAGGCTATCTTCATTTTGAAGTAGTACATTTTCTTCTTCACGATTGGCTGATCCCTCCTGATGACCCGGTTGGACATGACTCCAACAGGGTCACCAGGAGGAATCAGCCAATGAAGTTGGAAGTCCCACCCAGCTGACTACATTAAAATGGTGGATGTCCTTGATGGCGCTGCCCATGCTAATACAGCCTTTTGGCCACTAGAAGCCTTTATCATTCTCTATGTTTTGCACTTTGGATCTATTTGGAGGAGTATAAAGAAAACACTTGCATCTTGTCTAGAGGAAGTGACTAATTAAAAAGAGTACACATGTATACTCTCCCCAAGTGTGTACTTGTATGATACAGTAGATATTTCTCAATAAAATTAAATAAGAATTGTCAAAGGTGGCTCCTGTTTTGTTTTCGCCATGTGTTTTCTTCTTCTTGATAACACTTTGCTGTCAATCCAAATAGACCTACACTCGTAGAGCTATTCTGTTCATTGAACAAATATCAACTAGATGGTATAATCTCGGACAGGTTTATAAACGAAACCCCTCTGAATATGTTTTTCTAAGGAACCTCTTTCTGTAGTGGTGTTTGTGACGCCACCTACTGGTGATTGTAAAAACCTGGCACACCCTTTGGACTTAGTCGGTTGGCTTTTTAATTTTGCCTTACACAACATGACATGACAGTATTTCTCCTACTCCAATGACAATATCCTGATTATTTGGAGCTTTTATAATACTTTACATAATTTAATAAGGCATAATTTCCTTTCAAACATTTTATTTTAGTATTTTTTAAATACAGTATATCAAATAAAGAACAAGAACATGACATCATTTACAATAATTTTACAACAGTAACTTATCATTTATGAGTCACGGAAAGTTACCCTTTGTCAGATTGCAATGAATATATTACATAATATATAGCCTAGCTACCAGTTCTAAGATCATTGACTTAGGTTATCCATGGCCACATGTGGCATTTATTTTTAATTTTTACGTGACATAATACCAAAGCTCAGACAGTGCAACATATGGACAGGTTAGTTAAGGTCTATCCGTAATGTCTACCACTACTCACTCCTCATCATATTCCATTCTGACGACTCAAAACAGAGGTAGGTAAGCTTCTTGGATGTAAAATATCCATTTTGTGTATTTGTTTTTGACTAATAGTGTTTAAAAAAGGTCTGACATTCACTTGGAGAACAATCCACTTCCCCATTGATGAATCTGTAATACTTTATAAGTCTCAAGTGACACCAATAGTGGTCAGTTCTTGAGGCCACAGACAGTCCACAGTTTGGTTTCCAGTCCCAATGTGAAACAGGCTTGACATACAGAGTGAACCCTCACCTGGCTCTCCAAGCCTATCATAGTCCCAGCCTCGCAGGCACAGAGGCCATCAGTAGGGAGAGTCCGTATCAGAGGTTTCTCTGAATGTGAGGCTTCTCTGGTAGAGGAACAAAGGAGCTGATGACTGCTATGTTTGGGTATGTCTGTCCTCCTGTCTCCAGGTAGTATGGTACTTTTGACTTCTCATTCTCCGGTGAATAGGGGGTGATTCACTCTACTAATCTCTCAGGGGAGGAAGACAAAACTCTATTAAAACATTTAGACTTTATGAAACATGACAAAAATGACACAAAAAATCCATGGGATCCAGATGTTGGACGCCATGGTGATGACCCAGCCAATCCCCTGAGCCCACAGGGGATACACGTAGTCCTCATAGCTGGCTGGTTTAAACTGGATGATCGTGAACACCAGGATCACCTGTTGCACAAGAGGAGAGAGAGGGATGATGAAATACATTTATCAATTGCATTCAAAGTATTCCTGCTCTCAAACCTGGATGTGCCCTTGTCATGGGGCTGTATTTATAGACACTATAATTCTGTTGACGTGAATAAAGATGACTCACAGTGATCAGAAGAGTAGACACAAACATCCAGCACATTCTAAAGAAGATATTAGTCCTACTTCCTGTCATCTCCAGTAAGTTTGCTGAAAGCCACTTCACACCTGTCAGAGAGAATATAATAGAGGGAAGAAATAGAACTTAGTATTTTCATTCCTGTAACGACACACACAAATACACACACACCATCACGCACTCACTGGTCTCACCATAAAGCCCACAGATGGCCAGCACCTCAAAGAAGATCATGAATCGTAAAAAAACAAAAAAGGATGCCTATAAATATAGTAAAAGCACATTCACTCAAACGTCCTATTTTTTGTGCGGCTAAAACCATGAATTGGTCAAACAGTAAAGTGCATTATCTTCATGATTCCTCTAATGAAAGTGTCTACCCTACCCGTATTGTCAGGTGGTCAGTGTGATGCGGTAGGACGAAGTCAGGCGCAGGACACAGAGCTAATCGAAAACGTACTTTACTCGTAGGTAACGTAAATAACATAACCTCCACGCAGGGAGGAACAAACCCGCTCACCAGACGACAACCAAACACGCACAAAACACAGTGGGAGCCAGAGGGTTAAATAGGGAAGAAATCAACACATAATGGGAACCAGGTGTGAACAATAAAGACAAAACAAGTAGAACACAGAAACATAGATCGGTAGCAGCTAGTACTTCGGCGACGACGAACGCCGAAGCCTGCCCGAGCAAGGAGGAGGAGCAGCCTCGGCTGAATCCGTGACAGTACCCCACCCCTTGACACGCGGCTCCAGCCGGTCGGCGCTCGCCTTCTGTCACCTGATGGCCCGTTGCAGGCATACATGGGCAGCGTTCCAGGTCTCTTCCGAGCGCCGAAACCACTCCTCCACCACAGGTGCCTCGATCTGGCTCTGATGCCAAGGTGCCAGGACCGGCTGATAACCTAACACACACTGAAATGGAGAAAGGTTAGTGGAGGAGTGGCGGAGGGAGTTTTGGGCCATCTCTGCCCAGGGGATAAAACCCGACCACTCCCCCGGCCGGTCCTAGCAATAGGACCGCAGAAACCTACCAACATCCTGGTTCACTCTCTCCACCTGCCCATTACTCTCAGGGTGAAAACCTAAGGTCAGGCTGACCGAGATCCCCAGACGTTCCATGAACGCCCTCCAGACCCGAGGTGAACTGGGGACCCCGATCAGATACAATATCCTCAGGTACCCCGTAGTGTCGGAAGACATGTGTAAATAGGGCCTCCGCAGTCTGTAGGGCCGTAGGGAGACCGGGCATAGGAATGAGATGGCAGGACTTAGAAAACCGATCCACAACGACCAGGATCGTGGTGTTCCCTTGTGACGGGGGAAGGTCCGTAACAAAATCCACCGATAGGTGGGACCACGGCCGTTGTGGAACGGGTAGGGGTTGTAATTTCCCTCTGGGCAGGTGTCTAGGTGCCTTACACTGAGCTCACACCGAGCAGGAGGACACATAAACCCTCACGTCCTTGGCTAAAGTGGGCCACCAGTATTGCCCACTAAGACAGTGCACTGTCCGACCGATGCCAGGATGACCAGAGGAGGGTGACGTGTGAGCCCAATAGATCAATCGATCGCGGACCTCTAATGGCACGTACATACAACCCTCTGGACACTGGGGGGGAGTGGGCTCTGTACGTAACGCCCGCTCGATGTCCGCGTCAACCTCCCACACCACCGGTGCCACCAGACACGACGCCGGAAGTATGGGAGTGGGCTCAATGGACCTCTCCTCTGTGCCACACAGTCGGGACAGGGCGTCTGCCTTAGCGTTCTGGGAACCTGGTCTGTAAGAAAGGGTGAACACAAAACGAGTGA